TTTATTCTTTAATAATTCTTTTGTATTCACTTGGTATTGTTTGGCTTGTATCTTCCCATTGAGGTTTAAGACTGTAATTAATCAGTCTGTTATTGGCATATCTGCATACTATGAGTATGCCTCGTTATTGCCTTAATTCACAAGCTTTTTGTAAGCAATGATAGATAGTGGCTAACAGTCCCAAATAGGACGTAACGCGCGTCCTGGATTCCACTGCTAGCCACTATCCATCATTGCTTACAAAAATTCTTCTGTATGTTTAACTTCATGATTAATCATTTTGAATATCTAATAATGAGACATTTAAAATAGATTATAACATAATTATCATTATGATTGATTTGAACATTTTATTTTACCATCAATTGGAATATTGAATAGTTAATATCCATTGATTAATATCTATTTATTTATTTACTTATGCCATTTATAATTTGTAAAAATAACAAACAGAAATGAACTAAAACTAATAAACTATCAGAATATAATCACTGACAATCATCTCACCTTTAATTACAACATTAATTAGTACTGGAATCTATTTCTCTTCTTTTCTTTTCTTTTTTTCTTTTTGTATTTTTTAAAACAAGAGAAATTTACTTTAATTTAATCAAATCAATTGTCCACTAATCATTAGATTGATATTTAAACAGATAGTGAAAAGATTTTAATTCTTTTTCTTTTCTTGTCTTTTCTCTATCTTTTTTTTCATTTTTTTTTGGATTATAACTTAAAAGTGTCAATCTTTATACAAGAAAGAAAGAAAAGACCCAACTTATTCTCTGAATATACATATCTACAAAACAAAAATTGCTAAACACTTAATCACGCATAAACATACATTATCATATACACTAATTCATATGGCTAATCACTAATAATCAAGTTATATTCGTTTTTATTTAAAATAAAGTAATAATTTAGATCAATCAGATGAAATATGATGGGCCTCTTTAAATAGGGAATAAATATTCTACTTGACTACATATCAGAGAATGTGTATATATTAATAATTTAATTAATTAATTTAATAGACTATAATTTCATCTTTTTCCCGTTCACTTCAAATAGGTTAACTTAATTAAACTTGCCTAATTTGATTAATTTTTTTAATTAAGTTTTCTTTTCTCCCTAGTAGAATAAATATTATGTTTATATGTTTAGTTGACTTATTATCATAGTAACGGTAGAATATTTTATCAATGTTAACAAAATATTCTCATGTATATGAAATCTTCTTGTTTTAAGTATTAACAACAGAATAAACATATTATTAAGTAATTAAAAGTAATTCAAGCATGAAGTGATTGCAAGAGATTTTAGTACTGATATGGGTGTATAATATTAATTGATGCTCAGCATATTCATACTGTAAAAATAGGTATTGTAAAAAAAAATAATCCTTACGTCAGGAGGGGGTTTTGTGGAGATTTTAGTAATTTAATAATTCAATTCATGAGTCTAAGATAGAGACCGATAGGTTCTGGATTCGAATCCTGAGGACGGGATCGAAGATGAGCATTGCTGAGGGGTCCCATACTAGAAAGAAACAGTCGTTCAGTGCTTCCAGTTTTTCTATGGTAGTCTAGCTTTAATTGACTCATAAATTCAACTATTAATCCTTATGTGTCTGAATATGGATATCTAAATTTATTCATTAGATACATTAATACAAATACGTTGTGAGCCGCCATAAAACAAATTTGAATTTGTGTAACGTGAATTGGTCTAGGAATAGCAATGAGCAAATAAAAATTGCGCAAATTTACTGGACAAAATAAAGATGTCTAGAAATAATGCCTATTATATTCCAATTCAAATGAAAATTATTTATTACAATGATTTAGGATCGTTATGCTGAATCATAGATGAAGTCGATAGTATGTAATGTGATGAATTTTTAAGCAGAGTTGTATTGAATTGTAATGATCTACAATATTTTAAGATTGTTTAGATGACAGATTTATTTGAACTTAATAAATTTTATGTCTGTGTAAGCCATATCTATAACTCGAAAGTATAAGTGTGGCCGAAACAACGTGTTACAACATCTAAAGAGTAGTATAATCATACAAATGTAAACTGTACAAAGAATAATAAAGTCGTGATTAAGTATTTAATGTGGAAATTATGTAGTTTATAAGATGTTTGTTATATATGTGAAAAGTTAGCTCGGTGATGTTTCACTTATCTTTGATTATAAAACAATGTTACACGGTCTACTATCCAGCCAATGAAATCTAATATTGAGTTAAGTGTTTGGGTAATACTATATTCCATACTTTAAGCTGGATATATTGTATGGGACAGGAATCAGACTTATTTTAAATTTGATGTTCCATGACTTTTATCAAAATCCTTAGCTCTTCAGTGAGAAAATGAAGTTACTTTTTCAAAAACTTAAAGCTGGTTTCTCACTGAATTTATATTTATGACATGAAGTTATAATCACAAGGAAAATAAATATATTATAGAATGTTCTAAAATTCCAATTTATACCAACCATTATATATTCTCAAAATTAATAATGCTGTATAGCCACCTTGTTTAAAAGATATTTACAAATCGTCATGGTCTAGACATCATTTATTAAGTATGTTACAATTATCGCTTGTGTTCTATGAAATGTGATAACTTTGAAGATTATTAAAATGAAACTCTGTAGAAACAGTTTAGTTTTCTCTATGAATAAACGTTAGCTAAAAAATCACTGAAAAATAGTGACCACGAAATAATTTTTTTTTACCCTGGTTTGCTACTCTTCATTATTGCATAACAGCGATTGATTACAGTGAACCGAATCATACACCTTAATATTTTACATTGAGCACAATAGTTTATGACGGCGAGCCAGTTTTTGGTTAACCAAATTCTCAAATTTAATTTATTTGTGATATCATCGAATGTCTTAAATGACTCCTGGTTCACTGTTGGAGTGGTTGAACTTGACTGACCATGATTTTTCACTAGTTTCCGTAGTTTATTTTTAAGCTAGTTAATAGTGTGTACGTGTTTTTTACGGTCATTATGATGTGAATGAATAACTGACTTTTGTTTAAAATTAAAATAAACTTCTATCCTTGATAACAAACAACAAGATAACCTCTGCAAATTCACAAATTCTATAGTAAATCAAAAAATATCAGAAAGAAAGAAGCTGCTAGCGATAAACAGAGACATAGTGTTACGCAAACTATTCTAAACATAATTACTAAGAGTTTATTGTTCCACATGAAATACAAGCAGCAAAAATCACCTAATGAAGAAGTAATAATGAAGATTTACTATAAGTTATCACTAGACTCTGTTTAAATCATGACCTATCTTGACAGTTTATATATTCATTGATTGGTAGAGAACAATGAACAAAACATTCCTAGCTATTAGATAGTCCTCCTCAGTTTCATTAAGGCCAAGTATTTCATTCTTCTAGCTAACTCTAAATTCATTTTCGTCATATTAACTTGAATGTAGTGGTATGTGTTTATAAAGTGCTTCAAACTCAAATTCATATATGATTTTATTTAAATAACTGATGTAATTATTAATTGTTCTTTTTTTATTGTCATATTTCTTCATATTTAATTTGTCGGTTAAATAAACCGTGATACAATGAGACACAGAGTTAACCACAAGCCAAAAGTGGGTATGGATCATAGATGAATGTTTGGGAACATAACCACTCTCAATTCTATGAAATGTTAATTTATTGGCACTTCTACAAATTTGGTATGTCAGTAAGTCAAAATATCCATCCTAATCGTTCGTTTCCTTCAACCCTTTTTCCAATATACTAATGATATGAACACTTACTATTGCGTAACTTTAACAACTTTTAATAAATGTTATTCTAGTCTCTGTTTTACCGAGTCTTTAACCTACTTCCGTATTGCGAAACATTATTTTAAGCCTTTATTATTCTTATCACAGCTAGCATATCTACTATCCTACTGTTAGTTCATACTTTATGATCATTTTAAGTTCCTTAATTTATTTTGTTCTTATCATTTACTCATAAGCTACCTTGAGTGATTTAATATTTTTATTTATGCTTATAAATATCACTGTATATTAAAGTCTAATGAAAATCTAACCGAAAACAGTATTAATCCCTCAGATTTCTTGTTCGTAGTAGAGATGTATTGCTAATTTTAATTTTCAATTTTAGGGATTTATGTTTATTATAGTATTTTCAATGTTAAATTTATAAGTCAATCTAAGCTAGACAAAACAGCCATCCAGTGCTTCCAGATTTTCAATAATGATATAGTTTAGATTGACTTGTGTATTCAGTTTTCATTTTGTTTAGATAGATCCTTATTTAAATAATGTTAGAGAAGTTTTAAAAATTCCAATAAACAGTATACGGTATGGCAGATTGTAATTTACATTTAATTCAAAATAATATTCAAAAGGAGGAGTTTCATAGGTTTATAGTTTATTATTCCTAAGATCTATTTACAATTCAGTAGAAAATTATTTCAATGGTTAAGATCATGAGTCAGTTGAAGCTAGACCACCATGGGAAACTTGGAAGCACTGAACGAGCGTTTCGTCCTATTGTGAAACTCCTCAGCGGTGCGCATTCAAGACCTCGCCCCTGCGAGATTCGGACTCAGGACCTACTGGTTTCGCGCACGAGCACTTAACCACTAGACCACTGAGCTGTCATCCAACGGACGAAACGGCCGTCCAGTGCTTCCAGATTTTCCATGGTGGTGTAGCTTCAACTGACTCATGTTCTTAACCATTGAAATTACTATAATATCCACAAAACCCATCTGATAGAAAATTATTTATCTATCCAACCGATTATCATCTAACTACATCTGATCAAATTGTATTCTTTATTTTTTTCTTTTCATCGAAAAATTATTTTAACCAATCATATAACAATCCGTTTACATTTACTCTTCTCATTAAACTATATTCTGTTATCCAATTAAATATCAATAAAAATGGGTATGAAAAAGAAGAGAGTATTTTCAATATTCAAATATTATAGATTAAGATCTAATTTAAGAATAAAATCTAAATCATTTATAATAATTTTTTAAAACAATGTCAGATAAATTTAGTATTAATGAAATATTGAGATCAAATTATAATACACAAATTACATTCACTGATAAACATAAATCGAATGAAATAATATTACCTATCACAACAATTACATCATCTATTTCAACGAATCATAATCATAATTATTCAATGACATCATCAGATCATTCATTGAATTCATCAACATTCAAAGAGTTTCTAATCGATTCTAATGTAAAACAAACATTGGAATCATTAACACATGATAATGATAAAAATATTCAACACATTTTAAATTCCGCACAATTTAAACGATTTATCAATATATTAAAATCATTTAAATATTCAACTATTAGTAATCAATTATTGAATGAAATAAGAACAAAATATATAGAAGAATATAATATAACAAATCCTGTAATTATGAAATATTTAACACATATATTTACTAATAATCCAAATGTTATCTTAAATGAATTATCTAAAGATAATATTATTGGTAGGTTCTGAAATTATTTCAATCTCAATGTTAAGAATTATAAATTCAGTTGATGTTGTTTTATTTGAATATTTCCATTGATGTTTAGGACTCAGGACTCAATAGCTAAGTGGATAACGCGATGGCGTTTGAAGCGAACGCTGCTGGGTTCGTGTCCCATACTGAATATCAACTCTGATATGTAGGTACATCCAACTGACGAGTCCTGAGTAGGACGAAACGCGCGTTATGGATTCCATTGCTAGCCACTATACATCTTTGCTTAAAATGCTTGTGACTTAAGGCAATATCGAGGCAATCCGCACAGTATGCACATATGCTAATAAGAGACTGATCGATTGCAGTCCTAAACATCAATGGAAAGACTCAAGTAAACAATACCAAGTGAATTTATTTCGTATTGAATATTTTCTAAGTTAAATGTATCATTATTTCCGTTTCATAAAATGAAAATACAATGTAGTCAATGAACATTATATCTTATCATGACAGTGAATCTCATCCACAGGTTCAATTACTTACATAAGAGGGTATTTAAGTCGAATTCGATATTGTTTACTTTATGATAGCATATTATCAAAACAAACTTAAGTTCTACTTAATAGTGATAAACTATAGTAACAGCAGATATTTGTAAATCTTATTATTTTTTATAAATCACTTACAATTAAAATTAATGCCGATTAAATTAATCTTAAGGTTCAAAATCTAATATCATGCAGAAATTCTCAAATTCATCATGATTAAGAAAGTTGTATTATGTGTTAAACAGATAAAATTTACGATATCTAGTTCTAATTAAAGGATTATTTCAATTGAAAGTTTGTTGGTAATCTTATAAGTGTTTTGCTATCGATGAACTTGGTTTTCTACATCCTACATTGATCGGATCATTTGACACACACTGATTTTGAAGCCATCTGGGCACATGTTCATTGACCCTTGATTGCATTGTTCGATTGCTCCTCCCTATGTTTGTGTGTCCACACAAACATAGGGAGGAGCAATCGAACAATCTTATAAGTCACAACATAATCAGTGATGAATGTTACTGATGTGGACCGAATTATTAAATAATTTTTTCTTTAATAGTATTAGGTTGCAATCAAAGCTGCATGAAATCAGATATAAAATTAAAGGCATTTGATTTTACAGTGATATTCAGAATTACCTTTCTATTGACTGTTTTTGTAAGTGATCAAACTCGGGACGTTCAGTCCTCATGACCATCACAATTTAGTCCAAATGATTATCGTACAATATTGAAGATTAATCAAAATTGAAAATTGAAACCATTGGATGTCAACCTATTAACTTAAAAGTTACTTTCTCGTCACGAACCCTGAAGATCCTAGTTTTGATCCCTAGTGAGATTTTGGATGAGATTGATGGGGTATCCCATACTAGAACGAAATAACTGTCTAGGAGTACCTGGTTTTAAATGGTTGTCCAACCGAAGTCAGGTAATTATGCAAAAGTATTATATCCAGAATTTCTTCCATGCTTAATAGTTGATTGAACTTATTATTCACTCTCTGGTCCCGAAAAATAAAACATATTCATCAAGAGTTAAAATAGGCCATATATCAAAATAATCACAACACAAAGAGAATATACATGTCAAAAATACCCCCAAAGGATATTGTAAACCCTATGTTGGGGACGATAGATCCCCAGAACTCATATTTTGTAATTTTATCATATCGATTAACTTATCGATTAAATATTTGGATGCCTGTCGATTGATGAACTTGTCGATTAAATGATTAAGTAGCAGTCAGTTGACGAACTTATCGATTAAATATTTGAATGCCTGTCGATTGATGAACTTATCGATTAAGTGATTAAGTAGCAGTCAGTTGACGAACTTATCGATTAAATATATGAATGCCTGTCGATTGATGAACTTATTGATTAATGTTTAAAAAACATTTTACTATGACAATATCGATTGTAAATATTTGTATAAATACGCTTGATTTATGTGCTTGACCTGACTTGGTATCTGCTGTTTGCCTTTAGAATACACTTTCCACGCCTTACCAAGACTTCTTGATCGAGTTAGCTGAGTTGGGGACAACGGACCAGAATAGTCTATCGAGATTCTGAATCCTTTGATCCGATCGATAAGTCACTTCCCTCTAATCGGCGGCCCTTTGAGATATAACAACCTACACCATCATTCTTGGCAAGACTAACGACTTTGAAAGCACATAACATGTCAATTGATTTTGGTTTACAGATTAACGATTCCATAACAGTTTATCTTTACCTACTTATGCATGGTTTATGTATGATATTGTACTGCTAAACATCTAAATAACAATATATAGTTAAATAATTGTATCTAAATTTTTATTAAATTGCCATAGGCTTGTATTTTCATGGGTATTAAGAAAAATTTAGTTAAATAAATGTAACAGGAAATGTGTAGATTAGACAAATTCCACTACTGTGGCAGTTAAAAAGTCCGATATTTTCAAATTTAAAGACAATGAACCATGTCTTATTATTCATAGGATAATGTACTAAGTTGTGTATCAAATTTATTATGCACCAACCAGTGTTATTAAGTAAATATTAATAAGCATCATTGAAATGTTTAATACAAAATGTGATGGTCACAGTACATCACTGCATTGTGTGTAATCTTGAAACCACATCAGTGGACGTTTATCATTGCAGTTTTTGCATTGTGAGCATATATTTCTTGTTTGTCGCAAACATTATAGTCAAGAATATTAAATTTATCTAATAATATTTACGTAGAGCCAAGACGAATTGGACATCCTTATCAGAGTAGAATACCTAGAAAACGGAAAAAACCAAGAGCATCATTCACAAGATATCAAGTAAGTAAAATTTTTATTTTGTTGATAAAATAACTTTTAATTGCCTTGACAATTCATAGAAAATGAGATCATTTTTAGGAAGTTATGTTTTTATAAGTGCATACATAGCCTAAACTTGTGTATTATAATGTGCACTCTAGTATACCTACTTTGACAATTCGTCTTAAACACATTTCTGTACACAGACACATTTGTGAATGTAGAAAACCAATATAATGATAACTTACATTCGCTACATAACACATAAGAACTATAACGCGTTAAATTTGTTGAAAGAGTTCCTGAGATTATTTTTCAGTGGAAATACTGACAATTATTGGGATACATATACTTATACATGAAATTGATCAGTAGTTCTTATTAAACCCATATCCTATTTGTTTTTATTTGGACAAGCCTGACCACTTAAGGATGAATTACAACAAGACTTCCTATTTTTGCTTTCAACTCCTAAACAGCTAAACTTGGTGTATTATTTTTTGAGCCACTTAGATTAGTGACTATATTGGAAATTGGAAAAATTAGATCAGTTCATCAACAATTAGACAAGAATGAGAATGATTAATACTCTGACTGGTCAGCGTATCTCAGTATTAGTAATATTTACTTCAATTCTTATCCTCGCAACTAGGACACTTTCATATTAACATCCGTTTGGAAGCATAACTGATAACCGTACTTCACGGATTTTCACAGCTGGTTCTTATTATTGTTACTTTGTTAAGGATTTCAACATAACAGTTTACAAGACAAGGTGATAAACGTCTTCCAACTACTTTGATTAGTGAAGTTTAACATAGTATACACTTGTTTGATTGTTCAGGACTGGAAACTGATTTCAAAGGTTTCTGTTAACACATAAAACTTGAAGTATTAAAATAATTGGTCATAGTTTTGCTGGTCGATGAGTCACAGCTAAAGGCGGCTAAAATGGGAGTTTTAAAAAACCTAATTCAAAATATACATAAATGCATTTTAAAATGTGATTTTAATATCCTTAAGGTTCGTGTCATTTCACTGACCATATGTTTTTATTTTGTGTAAGAACAGCTTTTTAAAGTTTTCATCGTAATTTGTGGAGAAATTTGGAAGCTTAAGTTTTCTTGTTATGGATGTGCATACTATTTCTTCTTGTGTTATGAGAAATGTATCTTCTTCTTCTTCTAGAATACGATGTTATCAAATGCTGACAAAGATGTTCTACACATTTCAGTAATATAATTTGGGCTCAATAATTTAATAAAAGCGCTTTCATTATTGTTCTAGGCAACCTAATCATTGTAAACTTCCAAAAAAGTTGAAATTTAGTGGTGTTTTGTTCAAACTATCTGCTAATAGTATAAATCAATGCTGAAGTAAATTTTTAGTGCCTTTTCAACTAGATTCGAAAGATGTAAATTTTTTGATACACTTCGCTTGAAAATTTCACGGGTTATCCGAATAAATAGGAACATCAGTTGAAAGGATGGAGGGAACAATCTGGTTCTAGAACTGGGTTAGTTTCTAGAATCAGTAACCCCAGTTGAGTACTAATTAATTCACATTTCCAACTCATTTCATATGCATATTTTAGTGCAACCAACATTATTTAAATAAATTAATTTAAAAACTTTACGTATATATTAATTATTGTTTATACTTTTCATATTCTTTTCTCAAATCAACTATGTATAATTTAGATAAATACTTGATTTTCGGTTATTTTCTCTGACTTGTAAACAGGTGACAACACTTGAAAAAAAGTTTCGTCAACAAAAGTACTTGGCTTCGACTGAGAGGAATGAGCTAGCAAACCTGTTGAAAATGACTGATGTACAAGTGAAAACATGGTTTCAAAATCGTCGAACGAAATGGAGGTCAGATGACAATCGTAGTATGGTTCTAAATGTTTGTTCATTTAATATGTTACAAAATATAGTTCAGTTCAAATATCGTGAGTGGTCAGTTATTTAAGTTCCGGGAGGAAATTTCATTTAGACAATCAGTTTATTCGTAATGTCTTAGAGTGTACGGTTAATTTCCTTTGATAAATAATACTTTTTTAAATAGTTTTGTTTACCTTCACAGCAGTTATCTGTAACACATCCAAACAACAGATGATAAATTGTGGGATAGGATAAATGTCGTAGTGTCTCTTTCTCCAAATGTTCAATTCGTGTGCATTATCTTGCAATTCCTGTTCATTTAGTGAGTAAATACTATATGTAAGAGCATAATTTTCATTCAGGATTTTATTTCAAGCTATAACTTTCACTTCATTCGCATTTTTTATCTAGAATGTTGAGATGCGCTACGCTAGCTTATACACCGAAGACATATGTAGATAGTCTTAGATTATTCAAGTTAACACTTCATATTAGTCACCCCAACACTGACGATCTGATTTTAATAGTTGAATTCATGAGTCGATCTAAGCGAGGCTACCATTTAAAACTTGGAGGTACTGAATGGCCATTTCGTCCTATTATGGGACTCTCTAGCAGTGCACATCCACGATCTACCTTAGATCGACTCATGAATCCAACTTTTAAAACTACTATAATCTCTATAAATCCCCATTCTGATTTTATTTTGTTTCACATTACAGACAATCCTTAAGTTACATACTATAATTTTAAATGATGTAATTTGCCTTAAACCTGACCGATTATTATTAATTATTATTAATTTGGATATATAATTGTGGAACCTGAAGAGAAATTATCGACGAAAATATTCTTCGTTCATTAATCTGTGTTTTAGTACAGTATTTAATCATCATCTATTTGTATATATTTTTTACATAAATAGCAATACTTAATAATTAAATAAAATATTTATTTTCAGGAGACAAACAAATGAGGAACGTGAAACAGAATGGAGGGCCACAGGACGTTTTTTATTAAATTTACATTCTCAGCTGAATTTACTTAAAGAAAACTTACATATGAGTAATAGTCAAACATTTTATTCCACAGTGAGCGGTTAGACATGTTCAAGAATAACTAAAATCAACTGAAATATGTAAACTATTAAGCTGATATTCCTTGAATTGAATTTTTCCTTTATCGTTTGGTCATACACTCATCTAACCTATTGACTTTGTACTGTTTAATTGAGATAAACGTTTGTACATCTATCTATGGTGTTAAATCAGATTGGACCGCCAAAACGAATATTAACAATTAATCCCCATTAAAAGCATCACTTATTTATTACATCTATAACTTTTTTCTTCTCGCTTAATTATCTTGGATTCATGGTGATTTATAGGCAGTGGAAAACCATGTTAAAAACAACTTCAATAAAAGACTGTCAAGATAAATCTGGACACGGAAAAATCTGTGCGAATGAACAAATGATATGCGAAATTGTACTGTGGAAACAAATGGCAGCGAAATTCATCACGAACCAAATTTATCAAGAAAAACATTGAAATATTACGATAGTCCTTAAATCAATTGAAATTTAATGTTTTTACAGAATTTGATTTAATGCTTTTCCATGTCACAATTCAGCTCGAAAAACAAAAGAAATTCGAAAATCACTTTCGAATAATCGTTATGCTTAGTAGTATTCAGATTATTATACGAACAAGGAATCGCCGAAAAAAAGCAATTTAGGTCAGTGTGATAATCAGGAGTATTTGAATTATAGTACGAACTAAGAATTCCAGAAATAACGTAGTAGCATCAAGAAGTACTAGATAACCACAAACGAATGTACTGTATTTGGAATTCAAAATCAAGCATTCAACAAGTACAAAAGAATCACTAGTTCATTCAAACACCACATCCTCCACAGCTTAAATTGAAGTCTAAGTGTCTGTAATCGGTTGTACGTCTTCTACTTAAGTTCATCCTGAGTCTGTTCGACATTGTATTGGATAAAAACTCTGTATTATCTAGAATGTACTCATTAGTATTAGAATTAACAACCGAAATCGGAACAGACTCACCTGGGTCCTGAAATTGTATACAATAAGCGTGTCAATTTTGTAATGAAGTCATTAATATCTAGAATTCGAACCATAGATTTTTCAACACTATCCTCCACCACGAAATATTGTTGGATATTTATATTCCCAATTTATGAATGATGTGGCTTCACTTAAAACATATTTCTCCCATTGACTAGAGTATATATGAGAAGTGACTTCATGATAAAGATAAACAACAGTTGATATGAAATCATCTGAATTGTTATCAAAGACGAGGTCATTTAGTACTCGTGCTTTGCATTGAACAAGTCTCCCACAAGATACAAATGCATTATGAGGACAAATAATATTTGACATGACATCAAGATTTGACTCTTCTGAAATAGTTTCCTCGAATTTATTAAGAATATTATTGCACAGTAAATGATCATAAGAAAAATCAGCATCTATCAAGACTGCATCAGGTTTTCGATCATGACTAGGTTCATTCAACATATTTACCTCAGATTTTCAAAGAATTTCGTCAGAAATAAGTGATTCATTAGGGAAACCCATATCTGGTACAATAAGATGAGAAATCTTATATGTTGATTGATTAGAAACTATTGTCTCGCAAGAATTCTGAGTTTCATTTAACTCTGAACTGCTATATGAGTCTGTAGTGACATACTTTTATCAAGAGAACGCGATTGATTTAATGGAAACAATCATTATTATAACTAATTGTACTAGTGATTGTTTTACTGTGCTCGTTTGTTTAACTGTGCCAAGGACAGCCATATTATTACTACTCCATTGATTGTGGCCTTGCACGGGTTTGGTTACACTTGATAACCACGCTTGTACTTTTTTGGCACGATCCCGATATCCTTTCGATACCACGAGATCGCCAACAAATACATCTTGACTACAGTCATCAACTGCCTTCTGATATTTGGCTTAAGGGGGATTTTATCGGTTAACTGGAACGTAGTCTTGTTGTAGTGGTATTCATAGTCAACCGCGACTCCACTCCACGCTACAAGTCTACACTGTCTTTTGAAAGCGTTGATAAAGATAAATCATCATTATAAATACTCAACTTAATAGAATCAAAATAACAAGACTTAATACGATTTGCAGCAAGATGAACAGTAGTATTACAGAGTGACTGAATATGTCCAATATCACCACATTTAAAGCACTCAGAATTACGAAATTTACATGAATTAAAAGAGTGGAACCTGACATAGGACAAAACATTGACCAAAATTGTGCCCATCTTCGTGAACTGCATCTCAACTCCTCAATGAATTATCTGCATATCTTTGAATATGCACTGGGTTGGGATGACGCAATGTAGTGGAATTTTTTATATCGTCATGAATCATTTTACGAAATCTTCCTCATTTGCAACATTCGAAATTTGTATACTTAATATAGTGTAGCAGTAGATCCTTGAGAGTTGTATAAGGAAGCGAAATGGGCCTTTCCGGTAAAGCCAGAGTTTTTAATAAGCTATATGCTTCTTTTCCGATGAATGTGAGGAAATGTGCCACAATATTAACATCCTCATGATCTTCCTTTGTCATAGCCCAGATTTCGCACCTTGCAAAATAATCCTCAAAATCATCAAAATCTGACTGTATGTCCAACCATTTCATCAGTATTCAGTCTTCACTCTTCAGTCTTCAGTAATAAGGATAGTAGGTTGATGAACCTGTGTTAATCCTGACACATTGCTTTCCAGTGAAGGTCCAGCTTCTCCTTGAAAGTATTCACTGATGGGGCTAATACCACTTGTTCGGGTAAGGCGTTCCAATGATTGACTACTCGATGAGAAAAACGGAATCCCACTTTAAGTTTATTAGATCTTGGTTTATGAACCTTCTTGCTATGACCGCGGAGATTATTAGTGCTGGAGGGAGCAAAAAGATAAGACATATTAACACCCAAATCATAATTAAAGATACGAAATGCCAGTATAAGGTCACCTCGTGTCCTACGATACGACAAGGAGAAAAGATTTAGGCGTTTTAAACGCTCATCGTAAGGGAGTCTAGAAAGACCCTTCACTAATTTCGTTCCCACACGCTGGACACGCTCAAGGGAGTTAGTATCCTTTACCAGACATGGGCTAGCTGCTTGGATACAGTACTCTAAATGTGGTCTAACATATATGGGATATAAAATTCGAAACGTTTCCTCGTCAAAAGATTTGAACGCTCGGTGAAGTGACCATAACGCACGAAAACCTTTGACAGCGGCTGCTTTGCAATGCGCAGTTGTTTTCAAGTCATGACTTAATATTACTCCTAAATCCTTATGCTCTTGAACGCATGGAAGAGGTTTACCCTCAATAGTGTAACGGTAACTATTACCGTGACCGATGTGCATTAGCACACTCTTCCTAGCATTGATTTCTAAGCCCCAACCTCAAGCCCATCTAACTAAATCGTCTAAGTCAGCTTGAAGATCCACATGATCAGCCGCACTTTTTATTGTTCTCCAGATTTTTACATCATCCGCAAACAATAATGTCGACGACCTAAGTAACAGCGGTAACTCATTAACGTAGAGAAGGAAGAGCAGTGGGCCTAAGATGGTGCCTTGGGGTACACCACTTTTGACCGGCTTCCAATCGGATAGCGTTCCATTGACCCTCACTCTCTGTCTGCAATCACATAAGAAATTTCCTATCCACTCATGTACAGTACCTATTATTCCGAAGCTCGTGAGCTTCTGCATAAGACTTACGTGTGAAACTTTTTCAAACGCTTTGCTAAAATCTATGAATATCACGTCGACAGACAGACCGTTATCTAGGGCTGCTGTTCAATCCTCCCTCGCAATAAGCAAGTTAGTCAAGCATGAACGCTTGTTACGAAATTCGTGTTGCTCAGGAGCTAACAGATTGTGTAAATCTATGTGGCTTAGCAATATAACCCGAATTATCTTTTCGAGTAACTTAACGACTATGCTAGTTGGACTGACAGGCCGGCAGTTAGATACTATCTGTCGCTGACCGTCCTTGAATATAGGACTGACTATAGCGTCCTTCCAATCTCTAGGGAGTTGAGCGAGTGAGAGGGACATGTTGAAGAGTGTCGCGAGCGGTTTTGAAACAATGTCAGCAAGAGATGATAGCAACCGTGGATGTAACCCGTCAGGGCCCGGTATCTTACCAGGTTTGAGGTTAGTTATCAACGGAAGGACAGTTTCCTCAGTCACCTGTACAGATTCAATGGTTGGTATCTCGGTGTGAGTGGGACAAGTATTTGTTACAATAAACGTAGAGAAGATTTCGCTAAAATAGTTTGAAAAAGTCTCAGCTTTTGCTCGATCTGATTCAGCTAGTAATTCTGAATTTTCGTGTAACAGTAACGGGGGAATACCATCACTACGTTTCATTCGCCGTTTAACATACGAAAACAATCGTTTCAGACAAGTACGGCTATCATATACTAACTGTCGTTCATAAGTGGTACGGGATTTCGCTATGGTTTTCTTACAGATATTACGGTATTTTTGATACTCACGCTTAAATGGTTCATGACCTGTCAACAGGAATAAGTCCCAGAAATGTTTTCTACGCTTTAACAGCTACCGGGTTTCCTTATTAAAAAAAAAAAAAAAAAAAAAAAAAAAAAAAAAAAAAAAAAAAAAAAAAAAAAAAAAAAAAAAAAAAAAAAAAAAAAAAAAAAAAAAAAAAAAAAAAAAAAAAAAAAAATCCGCGTCGACCGACCAATCAGTTGAGATAGCACAGTTTCTGATTTCCGGAATATTGGCTCGCCAAATATTGGGACGGGGTGGAGCAGATACGAATCGTATACCATGCGTCCTAAACTTAAAGTGAATTACAACGTGATCACTGTTCACTAGTGGAGGAAGGTGCTGGATATCAAAGACATCCTCAGAGTGGTGGGTGAGGGCGAGGTCCAGCAGTGACGGAACATGTTGCAAATCAATATGTGTCGGTTTTGTGATACATTGTACAAGTGCACACTGAATAACGGTAGATAAAAGGTCGCTATCGAAACCACTACCTGGAGCTGTAAGCTCTATCCAGTTGATATGCGGCGCGTTGAAGTCCCCAATGATGAGACAACATTCTGCCATACTCCAAGAACAGGTGTGTCTTAGGATAAAGTCGTCAGCAAGACAAAACGGACTACGGTATATTCCCCCTATAGTCACTAACCCATTTCTAGATTTAATCTTACAACATGCAACCTCACATGTGCCACTGGTATGAGCCTCCGATATGGTTGATTGTATACGAAAGTGACCCCTAACGTAAAATATTATACCTCCCCCCTTGCGACTTGAAACTCTATCACTTCTGATACAGATATAACCAGCAATGAAAGGAGAACAGTCTATATCAACGGTGAACCAAGTTTCTGTAACAACGATTATATCGGGACATAATTCTTGCACCATAAGACTTAGCTCGGACGTTTTATTTCTAAGACTACGAGCGTTCGTGTAGCACACACTTAAGGTGTTTGGGAAATCAATCGGTCTACCCATACAGGCCTCGGAAGCATTGGCTTCCAAGACCTGACTACCCGAAAACCCTTAATGGTAAGGTTATTTTCGCCATTTAATTTGCGCGTCCTCAACTCCGTAAGAGCATTCTTCCACTTGATTCGGTCCTCAAGCGGCCAATTTGGTCGAATACGGATATTTGAGGCGCGAGTTTTTAGTGCGCTTTTCAATAATATGTCTCTTTCTTCGAAACTCCCGAGAACCAGCTTCAGGATCCTTCTTGGTTGGGTCTCGCCTCCAACCCATTTACCAACTCGTATTACTTTTGTAATATGTACCCCTGAAACCTCTTCAGGTAGTACATTCCTTACCACAGACTCCACTAACTGCAGGTCATGTGCGTGTCTTTTAGCAGGGTCGTTGTCTTTCGACTCCTCTAGATTCCAAATAATTTAACTAGGGATGGGTTTAGCTTCTTTTGAAACTGTGTTCACAGCTTTCGACCGTGACGTTAGATCCTGTATTTTAACTACTGGTAGCTTACGTTTAGTTTTTATTTTAACAGAGTTCTGGGAGTCAGGCGAATGACTCACAACAATGTCAGACGAAGCTTTACTATGAGACTTTGGCGGATTGGTCTGAGAGTCCACCAAGGACTTACCAAGTAAACAGTCATTAGTTTTAGCTATCTTTCCTACTCTTCTGCGTTTTCGCGTCATCCATTTTCCATCAGTCGAAACGTCTACATTAGAACAACTCGGGACAGTAATTGTTTTATCTGGGTCACCGGTAGCTGCTGTAGCAATATGGCCACCAACGTCTAATGACGTGTCACTCACTGATCGTTTCGGGGGAGAACGTTTAACTGCGGGTTGCACAGGTAGATGTCTAGCTTGCGCCGTGATAGCAATTACGACACTAACGCAATCTTCGCCATCCGTACCAATGTTATCAGTACAGCCCTCATCAACCTTCTTATTAGCCAACACCAGGAGACTAATTGCTTCCTGGATAAGCAATATTTTGCTCGAGCAACAAAAACTACAAAGCCAATGAGAGTTGGGCTTTGAGCACTTTTTATATGCAGTGGGGCTTAATCGGGTGCACATCTTATGGAACCACTTATTACACTCATCACATTGCATCCCTTCATCCACGGGAAATAAGCAGTATGGTTATCCACATTTATGAGTAGACCTAGCCATCTTGAAAATCAACTAGAGCGGTGACAAAAACAGGATATGTAAAAGGATTTTCAAACCTTAACTAAATAAACCAAGTAAAAGTCGACCAAGTACGCTTCGATGCAATAAATACACAGAAGCAAAATCGAAAAACTCAAAAACTATCACTTTAACTGGGGTAGATGCAATTAAAGTGTAAACAGTAGTTTTGATGCGTAATTTACGATCAAAACAGTTAATTAACTCAACGAGAAAGAATACCACTGTCCTTTTAAATAGAGCGCGCAATCAATCATAGGCTCAATCGCGACGCCAATATGATGATCAGGAGTAAATGAATTATAGTACGAACTAAGAATCCCAGAAATAACGTAATTGGATCAAGAAGTATTAGATAAGCACGAAAGAATGTACTGTATTTAAAATTCGAAATCAAGCATTCAACAAGTACAAAGGAATCATTAGTTCATTCAAACACCTTAGTTATATAGAAAAAAGTGAGCACAAACTACCTTATTCTACTCGGAAATCAAAATCTTGCATATATTGAGTACCTAGAGAATCATTGATTCATGCAAACACCTCAGTAATCTCACACACATATTGATTTCACTTAGTGACGACTGAATTTTCAGTCCCTTAACTTCTGAAAAACAGTTTCGACTACTTGGAAATGCTGGTCATAGTAAGTCGATAAATTGTGTTTGTGAAATTGAGAGGAGGACAAGTTCTGGAGCCTGACATCAGGTTCATGTCTTCAGTTTTTCTTCTGCCTAATGTATTCCGGTGCATATTATGCTGTAACTTTACGAACCTGATACTAACTACAGTATTTTCAGTTGTAGCGTGGTGTCGAGTCGCGGTAGGCTATGAACACCGCTACAGAGAAACACTTGCTAGATGACTCCAAGAAATCCCACAGAAGCCAAATATCAGAAGGCAGTTAATGGACAAAGTCGAGATTTATTTGCTGGTGATCTCGTGGTATCGGAAGGATACCGAGGTCGTGCCAGGATACAAGCTTGGTTACAGAACGTAACCGTATTCACGCGAAGTCACAATCAAAGTGTGTGAATAATAATTGAAGCATAATATAGCTGCCATTAGCACAGTTAAAAAAAGAGCACATTAAACAAGTACAGGTACAACTGACTATAATAATAGTTGTTTTTCATCAAACCAATCGTGTTCTCGTGATAAAAGTGAGTCACTACACAGTCATTAATTGATAACTCTGTAGCTCCCAACCCCTAAACATGTTATTCCTGCTCTCGACGTGCTCCTATACATCTGGCTATCCGTCTCATTTAGCTAATGATCTGTCAATGCTAGATAGACCTGGAAGCTTGTTGATCGAAAACTTCCCCTATTTAGTTAATAACCGTTTGGATCTACTTAACTTCTAGTCAGAGTATTCGAACCGCCAAAAAGTGCAGAGTTTTGACGTTTATCTTATTTACCTAAAGAATAGAGTTTCCAGAAAATATTTGCTTCATTTTCTGGATGTATGTCAACCGAAAATGTGAAATTTTGTTTGAATTCTTTTCTATGAATCAGTCTAGTCAGATGATCAACGCGGGTGGTTTGTTTGCTGGTCGATTAACGTATGGTAATAATATGGAGCATTATTTCCCTATAGTAACATAAGAAACGTCTTTGCTGAACCCTTGTGACTCTAGAGTATCTCGAAATTACCACATTTAATGATATTGGGTTTGTTCGGTTTTAGCAATTCAGTGTAGTTGAGTCTCCAAGCTCTGTTAAAAACTGCGGAACTTTGATTTAGTCGTGAAGTCCTACTTATGTATTTTAATGTCATTTGTTATTACCAATACAACTAAATGAGGCCATCAGAATTACATACTAACATGGGTAGAAAGCTGGTATTTAGATTTTCCACCTAACACATTGACGACATGGACTTTTATTAGTATTATTATTATTATTATTAAATCCTCCTACTTGTTTACGAGGTGTTTATTACAACTCTGTTTTGCCTTAAGTGATGATGAAATGTGTTGTTAGTGTCTTGTATGGGACTCACAAATTAAGCTTTGCTCTTACTATAGATGACGCATTTTTAGAACCGAGATATAAATGTAACGTATTTTCCTATATTGTATCCTAAAGATCAAGCGTTAATCGGTAGTAGTCTGACGAGAAAATCTATTTTGGTAGATGAGTGTAGTTAGTATTTAGTTGAAAGGTAACTATATATACAGACAAATATGAATCCGTCAGTTTTAACATTCTCAGATGAATTTTACATTTTGTATACACTTTCTTTCCTCACTGAAAATTCCTTTCCAATATTTGGGATTGTTATAAAGACTTATAAACTACAGTCGTAGTAGAGGCATTACGTAAGCTCAACATTAGTTGTCTCAAGATGCTTTAAGTAATCTCTCTTATTACAAAGTTTTATCTACTCATACCATTGGTCAGTTCTCTTTGTCTATTTTTTATTATGAATAAGATGTTATGTTGATCAAATTCGCTTGTGTGTTTGACGAAAAAATGTGTTTAGGTATTTGATGAAAAGATGTCTGTTTATGTGTTTGACAAACTGGTCTTCCAAAATTTCGTTTTAGTAGCCGAATAGGTAACTTTTGTTATTGCACGTAAGTTTTTAGCTTACTACAAGGCTCTTCGCGCTTTTGTCTCATGTTATTGATAGTATCAATTGTTCTCAACTCATTTTGCCTACAGTTTGATTTATGTGGTTAGTTTCGTAATTTTTCAGAACGGAGCAGGAAACATTGATTGCAGAAAATGGGAGGACGTCTACTTGATGTATATTTCAAATCAATGCCCGGCAGATAGCATTTCAATCAAGGGAACTTTGTTCCTAACAGACCATGTTAGTTTGAGATTCGTGTATAATTACAATTTTTGTTAGGGATCAAAAGTAAGTATTCACTGGGTACCCCATCATGATCAAGGTAAATTTCATTGTCACTCCTATTTGGATTACCTTATAGATTCGTCATTATCCCAAGAAGATAGAAAAGGTTATGAAATCGATATTAAGGATATGGATTTTCTTGTTATACGAAAGGCCCCATGCTTTCCTTGCCGTGGAGTGTATTTATCCCTAAAATCACAAAAACCTTATGGCCCATTCGAGTTCCGTAAAGGTGGTTCAAGTTCATTTTTGCGAAGTTTGAGTACTTTGGCTGATGTTAGAAGGTAAATGTATTTGAAATCTCTTACCTATACTGGAATTGATAATACCTTGTTCCGTTATTTGTTGAAGTCTATAGTCTTGATTTGTTTCATACACATAGTTCCCTTTATCATTTTGAAAAGAGTAAGAACAAACATTCTAGCAGAATAGCATGAACTCCTTTCTTTTTCGTTGGTTCTCGTCAGCTGCTTATAACCTGTGATATTTAAAATCGTAATTACATAATGCGTTGAGAATACTTACATGAGAGGGTTTAGTTGGAAGTTATATTGAAGACATATTAGTATAGTATAGCAAGGGTGTAAATAAATTTAATAGACTGAATATTGTATATGTATAACTTATGTAAAAGAAAATTCTGCAACACTGATTGTGACAACCGTTCAAACAGCTAGAAACAAGTGATTATATAATGTGTAAATATTGATAGGAATAACATTAGTAAGTTCAGTAGATAAAATAAGATTATTAATTTGGAAGATAGTTGAAATAAAACTCAATGATGTAATAAATGCAAGAAAGAGTTTAAAGAAAAAGGAAAAAATGTTAAGATACAGTGAAGGAATGTTAGTCACTAAGGAAAGGAAAGATTAATCACCATCTCCTTTTGAACACATAAATCAGGTTTTTGGCGTCTGATAATAACGGCTTCAACAAACTTCAGAAGACTGGAGTTTGGTTGCTTACTAATCACCGTGAATGATTGCAAGGTATCGACCTGATGTCCTGTATCAAGATGTTTGGTGATCTCACTGTTTAAAGTCTTTCTTTCTCTTGTTCTGAGGCTTTTTGGAACATGTTCAAAAAATATAAGATATACTCCCCTTTCTGTCTTGATTTGTATGCCACCTTGCTAATAGTCAGTTTCATCGTACATTTCCAGTCAAGTTGTATAAAGAAGCGCATTTTTAACTGGGTCACGTAGATCGTATCAATTTCGATATTTCTGTCAGTATAAAGCGATGTTTAGTGTATCTTTGTTAGAGGTCAGCTAAGAACCAACCGGCAAAACTCAACAAAAATCAGTTGATTTAATTTTATATCCAGGTTTTAGGAGAGGAATAAAGCGTGGCTCGTGCCAAAAAAATTGAATGGCAGACAGTCAAACCTTATAATACTTAAAACATTTCAATTCTTACAAAGATACTTTTCACGTCTTGATTAATAAGTGTTCACACCTTATGTTTGGTTGCGAGGTTTTGAATACAATTGAACCATGCCCAACATAGCCGATAAAACCTTGTTATACAAACACTGAAATGATGTTCATCGGGCCCTGAGATTATAAATTCTGCACGGAAACTGGAAAACGTTGTTCACTGGTAAAAGTGCTGTGATTTTATTGTCCAAATACTTGTAATATAGTAGTTTACTCAACTAGCTGTCCAGGCAATAGAAGGCTGACAACCACACAGTTCTTTCTCATCACTAGCTACGTAAGAGTTTTCATGACCAAAAGCTCTCCTATTTCATCTTTAAGATTTTGCTATGTAAACTCTATTGTATGTAGATATGTAAGCATTTCCAGCTGATGCTAACTGTTTTGATACACTGAAATGCTCACCCAATTATATATTTATTTGTATTTGTCGATGTCTAGTGTTCTGGTATTACATCATTCAGCGATTTCCTCCTGAAATCACCAACAGTTAGCTTGTCCACGATGACTAAGTATTATCAGTGTTGTTCCTTTACCTAATCTTGGGGATTGTGGCTAATCAAGTAAACCTAATTTTCAACTCTACAGAGAACTGCCTTCGAGTCTGCTAGGTGGTTTTATTAACCTGTCAACCTAGAAAATATATATGATGATATTTATTACTTCCGTACTCCTGTGGGTTTCCTCGAATCGTGTCACCTGTAGCTCGGTCGATGTTTCTGTCTACCTGTTAAACAGTCCGTTCGCTGCAAGGCGATTTGCTCTGTAGTATTTTGAGAACTCGAAACATGGATTTGTAAGGTAGAAAACATATGTAATATACAGTCATTTGACCATGATTGTCTTCGGGTCATTGTGCGTGCTTGATGAGAACGTTGGGCGATGTTAGATGGTTAATTGTCAAGTAGAGATGATAAAGCTGTTGATGAAACTATCCACGTATTTCTGTTGACCTGGTTGAGATGTGTATTACGCCTGGCCAGCTACCATTGTTTCTGGTTGTAGGAGTGTACGGTTGGTTTGGCCAATACATATAGCCGTGGTAATAATCATACGACTCAATAAACACTTTGTAAATTCATGTACTCACCTCTACTGCAAATGTGTTGTGTCTAATTTAGTATAACTACCACTACCTGACTGGCTAGATGGGATTCTAATTCATAATCAAGGCTCTAAAATTTGGATACCCCAACTACTAAAACATCACACTAATCATTGATCATTAATATGTGTTAGCCTCTGACTTGATTAGTTTACCGAATAATCGAAACGCATGGTTGACGATGTTAGGTGACATGGCTAGAAATGTCTCACTTTTTAAAATGCATTTCTTTATTTTCTTGTAACTTAACTATTGTATTATCCCATTCTTTTCATTCTTTGTTTGTACTTCCTCCTTTTGACGGTTTATCCTTTTATTTTTGTTCACACTACTGCCAACATTAATATTTTTTTTCTTAGCTTATTATCCTGCTGTTTGTCTTTCGTCTTATTAATATAAAACTAACATACGTGTGTGTTAGGTAGTGCGTTACATACATTTGTAATGAATAGCCTACAAACTGATTCATTTGGCTGTAAACCATACATTCTGTCAATATGTTTGGTTGCTTAAATCATTAAAACAGTTTTAACGTATTCCCTGTTTACTTGAGGTTTAAATTTCGCTATAATATTTTCTGTACTTCATTTCGAATTAATCGTTTTGTTGTTTGGGCATCTGAATGATTGCTTTGTTTATCGACTGATTGTTATTGTTGTCCATTGATTTAGATGTCATGATGACGAGAATCGGTACATTGTCAGACCTCGTCCACAATATAATTTTACTTCTAATTACCATCTTCCTGATCCGTAAGTGTAATGAAATTGTTGTTATTTGATTTATCAAAAGTTTTCTATACATAATTATTGTTTATAATCCATATTAAAAGTAAAATATAATTACTTTTAATCTGAAATGATTTCAAAGCGCATTTCAAAATTAAGTATTGACTTGCAACATTTCTCTGTCTTAATTTAAGAGTTTTTGTCAATGTATACCCTAAATTTCACCCCAGATTAATTCAAAAACTTCAGTTTTGAGTTCGAAGAATAAGCGGAAAAAATACTGTCAGTTGTACTATCCATCAAAATCTAAAGGTGGACACGGAGAGTCCACCTGGGGGAGTTGGAAAACCCTGATTCCAAACCAATGGTACACATGGGGCCCAGTATCCTGAGAGAAGAAATGGCGTATGAACCAATCGTTGATCACCGGATATCATGGGATTACATCTCCGTAAGTAGCTCCACTGCCTCGTGGATCAGACCTTTAGGTCGAAAGCTCCGGGCGTGCTCCTTTAAGAAAAACATCTACTTCGGTTCGGGCACCCGGGTAATATCATTGCCCGCACACAAATCAAGTGACTTGTGTGGGGCATTTGTATTCGGTGCCCCTTTGTACCAACACTTATGTGTTCAAATAAATAAATTTGATATTAGGATATAATTGGCACATTCTACATAATCCAGATGGGTTTATTTGTTTGTAACATTGTAGCATACAAATGCTGTCTACACCCCTTATTTTTGAGTAGTTATCTAAACAGTATTGATTGCTGATGAATAATATATTTAGTTGGATCAAATCGTGAAAATCGTTAACTTGAGTAAAGTGCTAGAATTTAAAAAGATGTTAGACAGTAGTGAATTCTATTTACTTATTTCATGTATGTTTGTTTATATTTTTATTAAACCAAAATATATCTGTATTATATCACTAGTTTTGTACAAAACAAACGTCATTTCAGTTCAGCAAGAGTGGAAGCGGAAGGGCTGATTGGGTCCCCTTTTTCTGGCCAATTAGGTGCTTCATTAAGAAATATTGGAATACATGTCAACTCAATTGTTAGCACTATATTATCACCTAATTTAATCGATGAAAATATAGCTCCAAATAACGGCTCATCCGAAGAGTATTTTGCAAAATGTATTGCAGAAGATCTACAGAAAATCGAAGCTGCACGTTTAAGAACTACCGATGATGGAGGATTTGCTGTTGTTGAACGAGTTAGTTTAAGTTTTGCTTTATTGCATTTATATATTTTTTCAATTTTTTTAAAAATTAAATGAAATAAACTACCATCCCTTAGAGGTAATATCAATTGTTTTTGTCCGGTAATGAATTTCCATATTTATTTTTTGTCTTGTTTAACTATCTTTTTGTAACGTACTCGGTTGTCTTCGCTAATAAAATAAGGTTGGAAAAGTGATTTCGAAGAATAATTACTTCCCATATGTTCAATGTACACTTTTGTCCTCAGCTATTTTATTCATGGTTGTTTTAAAAATTTGACTATTTGCTTACTTATTAATTAAAAATATTAACCGCTATTTTGTCGTACTAATACTCAATAAATCCTAAGTTTATGTTTGGATTGAGAAATAACCATCCTAAATTTTTAAAAATCTTTATTTCCGGTGTAAATTAACCGGAATAAACACACTAAAAGTCTGACATCGCATTAAAGTATATTTTACTATCTTTGAGGAAGTATTTGATCACAGATGCCTCAGAAATATTGCTGGCGTCTGCTGGAATCACCGGGTAAGTAATAGTGAGGTTAGACGCAGGGTATTAGGGAATGATGGTAAATCAGTCGATGAGGTTGTGAATCTTCATCGACTGAGATGATTGGGCCACGTGTTACGTATGCCTCAACAGCGATTACCACGAAGTGCAATGCTAACCGGTGTTCGGGATGGTTGGAAGAAAGTTAGGGGCGGCCAAACTAAAACGTGGCATCAGTGCTTGAAGTCACTAACTTCTAGTCTTAGCCATGTTGGTAGATGCAGACTACTTGGTTGGGGTCCGCGTGACTTTCGTAACCAATGGTTGGAGACTCTAGGTGACATGGCTCAGAATCGATCACAACGGCGTAGGTGTATACACTCTCTGTCTTCCCTTAAACTAAGAGATTAAAATCGCTTCATATCTTTCTTTCTACGAACTAATTCTTTCTTCTTGTACTATATCCTTATATGAAATCTTTCTTTTATATATTACCACCTCTGAATTAACTACTTTTATGAATCCGGTGTCCATCGTGTTGTGTTAATGAGGTATGGCAACTTTGACCGATGCATATATGTACCTGGTCCTACGTTGTAGCTGACTGTGTTAAAATCATGACATTTATGATTTCAAAATAATTGGTTTGACTAAATAACTATCTATTTGTGATATGATGGAATTAAAAAGCAAAATTGCATTCTTTTACTCATTGTAATTTTTGTTTTAATCCACTGTGATAATTACTCAATGTAGTATTTGTTTTGTTTTTCCAGTATGGTAATTTATTCTGTATAACACTGATTTGTTATAATTCTGAGTATTTTTCATATATATAATTTCATCCTAACTATTTATCAAGATGAGTTTGCAAATCAACATTTAAATGAGTGTATTTTCGACTAGGGTTGTCATCGTGTTTCGCTAGTAATAACTCTTCACTTGTACCAACCTTTATGTCCTTACTTTCACGTCGTGGGAATTGCAGTTGTTCTTTGTTTTACAAGCATAAGTGATAAGCGATTCCGACATAACAATTAGCGATGACCTGATATAATAGTTGGCGATGCAGTCATAACAATTCGGCGACGGGTATGGAACGCATCAAAAGAGTTAGCTTATCTTGTCATTGTATCACTGAGTCTTCTTTCCCTTCGCCGATTTAAATGATCTCGTAATCTCTCCAAACATAGTAACGTGGTGACGGGGCTGCAGCCCACACTTGTTATTCCTGAAAAAAGCTTGACTATTCTAATGTTGATGAAATAAGACAAGAGTCCTCTATCCGATGGTTAAAAGCCGAATCAATAGACTGATGAACCATAGTGCTACACACATATTGCTAATTATACATGGTTAATAATCATATTTTCTGTGTAGTTTATTATACTCTAAGAACGTTCATACATAGTAAAAATAATTATCGAAAGACATGCAATACCACTACGAGAGATTTTCTGCTAACTGGCTTCAACGGTTTATTATTATTATTATTATTATTATTATTATTATTATTATTATTATTATTATTATTATTATTATTATTATTATTATTATTATTATTATTATTATTATTATTATTATTATTATTATTATTATTATTATTATTATTATTATTATTATTATTATTATTATTATTATTATTATTATTATTATTATTATTATTATTATTATTATTATTATTATTATTATTATTATTATTATTATTATTATTATTATTATTATTATTATTATTATTATTATTATTATTATTATTATTATTATTATTATTATTATTATTATTATTATTATTATTATTATTATTATTATTATTATTATTATTATTATTATTATTATTATTATTATTATTATTATTATTATTATTATTATTATTATTATTATTATTATTATTATTATTATTATTATTATTATTATTATTATTATTATTATTATTATTATTATTATTATTATTATTATTATTATTATTATTATTATTATTATTATTATTATTATTATTATTATTATTATTATTATTATTATTATTATTATTATTATTATTATTATTATTATTATTATTATTATTATTATTATTATTATTATTATTATTATTATTATTATTATTATTATTATTATTATTATTATTATTATTATTATTATTATTATTATTATTATTATTATTATTATTATTATTATTATTATTATTATTATTATTATTATCATTATCATTATCAACAATTATATTGTTAGCGAGATAGGGGTCTGTTATAAGTCTGTCTTTCTTCTTACGGTTAATGACCCAGCTATTCCTATTGCTTAGTATTCTCGGACACCGATTCACTCGACAAGTCCCCAAATCAGAACACGGTTGAACAAGAAAGAGATTATATTCCAAATAGCAAGTCAGAAGCCAGTAGGAAGCACAATAGGGGAAAACGTCGGTATATTTATAGTTTTTACATAAGAAGATTCCAGAATATTCTCCGACTATCGACTAGTGCTGATTGGATAAGAATCAGCCAATCAGCGTGCACCAAAACAATCATGCATTGAGCATGCTTTAATCTAGCCTATGTCCCGCTAACAGGGTCTTAGTCTACATTTATGAGATTTGTTAAAATGTTAGACTTTCAAATATCAAACTTGTTAAAGTTGGTTACAAATTACTTTTATTTTACTTTTTTCCGTAGAGACCAAACCCTATTTCTCTCCCACCAATGCCCACTGTTCAGCGTTCCCTTCCACTGAATATGACCCAATGGAAAAAGTCACTGGATCCAGAAGGTCGTGTAAATCGACCTGAAAATTTACGTGAAATAATATTCAATGGTGTAAGTTAGTTATATTTACCGAGGACGTTAAATCCCCTAGAATAAAATGTATTTGATTTATTCTGTAAATTCGGATTTCGGTTTCATTTTTGTGGTGAAAATACTCACAGGAACTGTCTTCATTTACTGTGATAAGGGGCAAAACTTTTTTATTGGTTTGTTGCTTATTTAGTATATCAATTTTCCACCCTATTTTTAATATCTTTGTAAATATTATTCAATCCATATCCAACCGATATTTACTAAAATACATCACTTTAAGTCTCCACCACTAGATCTTTCCTCTAGGGTTTACCTTTCGGATGAACTAGAACTGTGAATTGGAGAAGGAATTGTGTTCGCAGTTAAAGATACGACTACCGCGAATACGATTGCCAAATTTAGATACTCGGACTTATATGACCAACAAATGACGCATACACCTGAACGAACAGCCTAGAGACCCGTTCAATCCTTTTCGCTGCCTGTTAATTCCAAAACACAAACCTTAACCTCCGCAATATACGTCATATATTTCAAACATACTCGGTTTATGTACAAGCCAAACAGACCACATCATACCAGGAATAGAAAACAACATTTGTACAAGATCAAGCTAAAAAGTGGCTATGATTAAGGGAAACTGTAATTAATAAACTGGACATTACGATAATAAATCGTATAATGGTAGCATGTAGGTCAAAATAAAGCTTATAATAAGAGAGATATGAACATACATAAACTAGTTACTCAATAGTTATGTGTTAGGAAGATGCATATAATGTTAGTCCATAAAAAAGTCCCAACAGTTACCATTCGTTATTCTCGTCGAGATATAACAGTTATTAAGTTCAAAAAACTTAACAATCAAGATGACCTGAAAAGTACTTAAAATAACTTTAAAAACAAAAAAAACTAATCGATTAAAATATAAATACCCAAGTTTCAAACATTTCTCTTCCCAATCACTACTAATGATCTCCTTAAAATTGATTTTTATCGAAACTTATCTCTTAACTTTCACCATTATACTGATATTGTTAGTAAGTATACCGCTGTCATTACTCATTTAATGATAGTATTATGTCATATGATTGGTAATTTATGTTCAATGGAATAAAGTATTCTGTTTTCTATTAATAGTGAAAACGTTTTTAGTTTCGATTAAATGTAATAACTTTCTATCTGATGGAATTAAGTTCATTTTAATTTTTTCTTTGTTTCAAGTAATGAATAAAAATGTATACTTAATTAGTGTTATTATCTATCATAATGATTATTCCTATGAAGAAAACATTAAATCTTATTTGACTGTAACATGTTCATGAAAAATTTGACGAATGAAGATGTAACTTGTCAAAGTTATAAATTTTCATATAGTTTATACTACCTTAACTCTAGATAATTAGGTAGCCAATAAAAATGATTGTTATCGGAAACTTAATGTGTCTCTTTGATACTATAAATCAGTTTATAGAGAGAAATATGTTACAATACCTTGCTTCATAAAAATCAATTATTCCACCTTAACTACAGTGATGTAGAGGTTGAAAGCTTAATGTATTTTTTTTCTACTCACATGCTGCACCTTTTCATACCATGTGCAAACATCCAAATGTAAATCCCTTTCAATTATATTTCTATTTAGATCAATCTTTAGCAACTTTTAATCTCGATATCTTACTGCTTTTTTTTAAAAAAATCTCTCATGATATCTGATTATGCATCTATCTATACTGGTGTCATATGTAATGATACATGATATGTTATGGTGAAATTGTTGACCACATGTATAAAACGTAGTAATAGTTAGAATTATACTTCCAAAGGTCTTATATTATATTCCTAGAAATTGAACAAGATTCATTATTAAGTAAATGTCTTACTGCTACTAATACTACTTACGCCTGTTACCCCTAATGGAGTATAGACCGCAGACCAGTGTTCTCCGACCCACTCTGTTCTCGGCCTTACTTTCTAGTTCTATCGAATTGTTGTTCATTCTTCTCATATCTGTCTCCATTTCTTGGCGTAATGTGTTCTTTGGTCTTCTTCTCCTTTGGCCTTGAGGATTCCAAGTGGGGGCTTGTCTTGTAACACAGTTGGGTGCTTTCTTCAATGTGTGTCCTATCCACTTCTAGTGCTTCTTCCTAATTTCTTCCTCCACTGGAATCTGGTTTGTTCTCTCCCACAGTAGGTCGTTGTTGACGGTGTCTGGCCAATGGATCCGAAGTATTTTGCGTAGACCACTGTTAATAAACACTTGTATCTTCTGGATGATGGCTTTCCTAGTTCTCCAGGTTTCCGCCCCATACAGTAGAACTGTTTCGACATTTGTATTGAAAATCCTGACCTTGGTGTTGGTTGACAGTTGTTTTGATTTCAGATGTTCTTCAGTTATAGATATGCTACCGATCCGCGCCCTCACATCTACATCAGATCCACCATGCTCATCAGTGATGCTGCCCAGATATTTAAAAGTTTTTACATCCTCAAGAGCTTCTCTGTCAAGTGTGATTTGATTGGTGCATGTTGTGTCGTATTGGAGAATCTTGCTTTTCCCTTTGTGTATATTGAGACCTACTGCTACACTGGTCGTCTTCTGTGTTTGTTTTTGCGTGTGCAATAGAAGGTCCAGATCGTCCAGCTGCATCCTAGCTGTTCACTGTATCCCGTGCTTCTCCCCAGATGTTGACGTTTTCATGATCCTTTTGATCACCAGGAGAAAGAGAAAGGATGAGACTAAGCAACCTGGTCTGACACCGGTCTTTACTTCAAATGAGCCTGTCAGCTGTCTTGCTTGCATGATTTCTCAGTTTATTCCATGATAGGAATTCGTATGATATTGACCATCTTCTCAGGTACATTGTAGTGTTGAAGCAGTCTCAATAGTGTTTTCCTGTCCATGCTATCAAATGCTTTCTCGTAGTCAATGAAGTTGATGTAGAGTGATGAGTTTCATTTAATTGATTGTTCCACAATGGTCCGTAGTGTTGCGATTTGATCGGTGCACGATTGATCCTTACGGAATCCAGCCTGCTGATTTCGAGGTTGGGCGTCTACGGAGTCCTTCATTGTGTTTAACAAAACCCTGTTGAAGACTTTTCCTGGTATTGAGAGAAGAGTGATATCTCTGTAGTTCTCACACTTGCCGAGATCACCTTTCTTTAGTATCTTGACCAGGTATCCCTCTTTTCAGTCTGTTGTTCTTCATCCCAAATCTTGCTGATAGTGCTTCTTGTTACCCAGGACCTCATGACGTGTTGAAGTGATTGCCTCCTTGGTCCCTTCCCAGTTGTTCTCCATAGTGGTTCCCTCTCCATTGAGTACATCATGGAAGGGCTGGGACCTATTGCTGAGGGCTATCTTGAATTCGTTAAGTTTGTGAGTATCCCGAAGAAAGGCCGTATTGAACTTTTGTGATGTTGTCTGCCCCGTTGTCTAGTGCTTCTTGAGTTTCAGTTTCATCTTGGCGACCAGCAAGCGATGATCTGAGTCTATTTCAGCTCCTCTCTTGGTTCTCACATCCTCCATCGTCCTTCTGAACTTTTTAGTGATGCAGATATGGTCGATTTGGTTTTGCGTGGTGTGGGCCGGTGAAGTCCATGTGGTTTTGTGTATGCGTTTATGTGGGAATATGGTGCCGCCAATGACCAGCTTATTGCAGGCACATAAATTTGCAAATCTCTCACCGTTTTCGTTTCTTTCTCCCAGTTCGTGTCGTCCCATGATGTCTTTATATCCGGTGTTGTCCATTCCAACCTTGGCATTTAGGTCTCCTATCAGAATTATCAAGTCTTTTTTTCGGCATTTTTTGACGATTGACTGCAGCCTATTGTAGAATTGATCTTTAGCGTCTTCATTGTAATCGTTGGTAGGTGCATAGCATTGGATGACGTTCATTGTGATGCCCTCTTTCTGTTTTAAAGGAGGCTTTGATGATCCTTAGTCCATGAGATTCCCATCCTACTAGGGATTTTTGTGCTTGTTTAGATAGCATCAGTGCAACTCCTTGTGTATGTGGGGCATTTTCTTCTTCATGGCCGGAGTATAACAGCAGCTCTCCTGAAGCTAATCTTTGTTGTCCAATCTGCGTCCAATGTGTTTCACTGATTCCAAGCACCTCCAGGTCGTATTTTTTCAATTCTGCAGCTACTTGGATGAGACTTTCGGTCTCCCACATTGTATGAAAATTCCATATAACTAAATTGATTGTTGCTCTGTTTGTAGAAGGAGCGTCAACCTCGTGACTTCCGAAAGAACTCGGTTTTCGTTATGAGACATCACAACAATTCTAAATGAGAAGACCTAACTCACAGGACAGAGTTTAAATAGGTTGAATTATTTTTTCCTGGTTAGCGTTTTTTTAGCGAGTTAGTTTTCTGTGAAACGGGGTGGCTAACCCCATGCTCAACCCTCCTCCTTTATCCGGGCCGACAGTAGCCCCAGAGGGGCTCTAGGCGGAGCTAAATATCTTTCAAACAAAATAAAATACATAGTTAACTATTTAACTGGTTCATTGATTGTTTGTGTGGAAAAGTGCTGTTGCTCCATAAAGCCCTTTTCCAAAATACTTTTTTCTAACTGTATGTTTACTAAAAGTGACAATACGGACTTATGTTTGAGACAAACCACTGCTATATGCTAGCGGTTCGACAATATCACTACTCTGATGATTTCATTATCCATATCTGAGTAGACTAAACAGTTCATCTGGCCTGCTGCCTCAGCAACATCGGTCAGACTGTCCTGCTCTCCATGGCCGGTGACGACTGATCCACCAAATGAAGCGGATGTCCGCAAGGAACTCCAACTTTTGAAGCGCCACAAGTCACCGGGCCCAGATGACTTACCCTCGGCCCTTTTTAAAGATGGTGGTGACTTTCTAACTAAGAAACTGACAACATTGTTTACAAAAGTTTGGGCACTAGAGAGTTTACCAACGTCATGGAATGAATCTGTAGTTGTCCCCATCTTTAAAAAGCGTTCACGTCGTTCCTGTAATAACTATCGGGGGATAA